CCCGTCATCACTACCTACTATCTACTACTAACATCCAGGAGCTGTACGCCCAGTCCTATGCCAACTGTGTAGTACTGTTCGGATCGATACCAAACTTTGCCAACATACACACACACACACACACACAACGACACATTCGTCTATTAAATGAAATTATATTTGATTTTGATCAGGTAGCTTTTTTTGATACCTATCCAATACATACATACAGTCATACATATACACAGATACACACATACAGTCATACATATATATACACACACATACATACAGTCATACATATACACAGATACACACATACAGTCATACATATATATACACACACATACACACACACATACACACACACATACACACACACATACATACAGTCATACATATACACAGATACACACATACAGTCATACATATATATACACACACATACATACAGTCATACATATATATACAGACACACACATACATAGATACATACAGTCATACATATACACCAAACATACATATACACACAAACATACCTACACACATACATACACATACATACATACAGTCATAGATATACACAGACACACACACACACACACACACACACATATACATACATACACATAGATACACATACAGACACACATACATATTGAGAGTAAACTTATTAAAATAAAAAAACTTTTTTTTTAATAGATATAAATTTTATAAGATATTATTTAATTATTATTATTATTATTATTATTATTAATTAGCTCTTAGAGGACGAACAGTTTACATGTATTGAAAAAATTAAGACAATTAGCAGCACTTATATGGCGGCCGCCGGACTAAATCCAAGAGATCAGGTAATTGATTGATTGATTGATTTTAATTAATTATTATTATTATTTTAAGGGCAAATCAATTGGCTATTTGTTGGCCTCAGTCGCCGATTTGGCCCTATCTATGAAGGATGCCTTAGAAGATGTTAATAAACATTCATTCAATAATTTTAAACTAAGAATCGGTAAAAAAAATTTTTTTTCAAAATTAACAATTAATTGATTTTTTACTATAACTACTAAACTGTTGGTTAGGTTTAACTCACGGCCCGGTTGTCGGCGGTGTTATCGGTGCCAAAAAGCCTGTCTACGATATTTGGGGAAACACTGTATGATTATAATAATAATTTTTTTTAAAAAACAATTAAATTATTGATTATTATTACTAAAATTATTTATTAATTTTTTTTTTCTATACTATCATTCAATGGTTATCCCAAAAATAAAACTATTGGTGTGAATGATGGTTAGGTTAATGAGGCCTCTCGTATGGATTCAACCGGAAATATAGATCAAATTCAAGTGAGTTTTTTTAAAGTTGTTTTTAACAATAACAGTGAGATAGTGATAGAGAGAGAGAGAGAGAAAGAGAGAGAGAGAAAGAGAGAGAGAAAGAGAGAGAGAGAGAGAGAGAGAGAGAGAGAGAGAGAGAGAGAGAGAGAGAGAGAGAGAGAGAGAGAGAGAGAGAGAGAGAGAGAGAGAGAGAGAGAGAGAGAGAGAGAGAGAGAGAGAGAGAGAGAGAGAGAGAGAGAGAGAGAGAGAGATAAAGTGAAAGAGAGAGAGAGAGAGAGAGTGAGAGAGAGAGAGAGTAAAAGAGAGAGAGAGAGAAAAAAATAGAGTGTAAAACAGAGAGAAATCGAGAGTAAAAGAGAGAGAAAAAAAAGAGAGATAGAAAAATAGAGAGAGAGAGAGAGAGAGAGAGAGAGAGAGAGAGAGAGAGAGAGAGAGAGAGAGAGAGAGAGAGAAGAGAGAGAGAGAAAGAGAGAGAGAAAGAGAGAGAGAAGAGAGAGAGAGAGAAGAGAGAGAGAGATAGAGAGAAAGAGAGAGAGAGAGAGAGAGAGAGAGAGAGAGAGAGAGAATAGAGAGAGAGAGAGATAAAGTGAAAGAGAGAGAGAGAGAGAGAGTGAGAGAGAGAGAGAGTAAAAGAGAGAGAGAGAGAGAAAAATAGAGTGTAAAACAGAGAGAAATAGAGAGTAAAAGAGAGAGAAAAAAAAGAGAGATAGAAAAATAGAGAGAGAGAGAGAGAGAGAGAGAGAGTAAGAGAGAGAGAGAGAGAGAGAATTACTTAAAAATGAAATTTTGTTTTATTTTTTTTAATAAAAATAGATCCCAAAGGCGTCGGCCGTTATACTGGAAACGGAAGGCTTTCGGTGTCAGTATCGGGGACTGGTAGCCGTTAAGGGTAAGGGCGATATGGAAACCTATTATCTGGTCGGCCGTAAAATTGAACGAAGCAAATCGTGCGGCCGATCGCAGTACGGGGCCGACGGTAGCGGCGGTCGCCACTCGATGACAGCCGTACTGTCGGCAATGGTTCAGAACAGGAAAAAACAGTCACTCGGTTCCAGTCTATCGGTGCCGTCAAACAAACACCAACAACAACAACAACAACACCCACAACACCAACAGCTAAGGCCACGCGGGTTGTCCTCATCGACAGCTTCGGGCGGACTGTCGTCACTGAGTTTTAACTTTCGGAAATCGGCCCGAAATCTCGGTACTCATCGTCTGAATCGTATGCGATCGGAGATGTCGTCTACCGGCCGATCCAAACATCGGACGTCGACAACAACAACGACTACTACCGGTTTTATCGGTAATATACTGCAGGAGCCCAATATTCACGAATCGGCAGCCAGTAGTCACTCGGTTCCCGATATTATTAAAGCCAAAGACTGTGACACTAGCGGTAGTAGTCATCACACGATAATCAATATATAAGACATATATATATTATAAATATATATATCTAAACCAAAAAAAAAAATTTTACACAAAAAAACTTATATATATATTATAAAACTTTTTAATTTTAATTATTATAGACATCACTAATATATTACACAAACATTATAGTTATTATTATAACTAATCAAAAACTAAAAAATTATTTTTTAATTTAAAAAAAACTACTAATAAGTTAATAATAATAATAATAATAAAGTTATAGATAACTACTAAATTTTTTTTTAAAAAAATGGTATTCAAAGTAAACATTAATTTATTTTATATTATATTACTAAACAAACAAATTATTATTAAAATTAAATTTTATATTTTGATAGATATTGATTGATTAGTATAACTGACTAACTAACTAACTAAAAATGATGATGATGAGATAGTTAAAATAATTAACATAAAAAATTAATTATTTTAAAAAAAATAACTAAATATTTTAACACTAAGTGTAAATTTTTGTTGTTGTTGTTGTAGTTGTTGTTGAATAATACGTTTTTACTTAAATATATTTATATATATATATTTTATATTAACAAACAAACAGCAAAAAAAATCATTAAAAAAATTAATTAATTAGTGAATCTCAATAACAATCAAAAAAAAATAAATAAATTTTTATTATTATTTAATTGTTAACAATTTTTTAAAAATATATTATCTATTTATTTATTATATTAATAACTAATATAATTTTTTTTTTAAAAAAAATAACCTAGAACAGTGATATTAATTAATTAATTGTTTTTAATTTTTATACTAATTTTTTTCTATTAATAATTAATACAATTTAAAATTATTTTTTTTTGGTTTTAACTTAATTAATGTTATTATTATTATTATAACTATGTGTATATAATTTTGAAGGTGCTGAGCAATGGTTACTAGTAATTATAAATATTATTATTATTATTATTATTTAATAAATAAAATAAAAAATGCTCATTAATATTTTTAATAATAATAATAATAATAATTTTTTTGTAAAAAATTAATTTAATTATAGAAAATAATAAATTTTGTTGTCAATAAACTAATTGAATGTAATTTATTATAATATATTTATTTTCAAAAAAATAATAACTATTTAAATGTTTAAACATAAATAAAATTTAATTTTTTTCTAAAAAATAAATTACTTTTATGTAAATTATTATTTTTTAATAAAATAATTTAATTGTATTAATTAAATTTAAAAAAAATATAATGTTTAAAAAATGTGTTTAAAAAAATTATTTATTTTTAATTACAGGTAATTAATTACTAATCAAAAAAAAGGTATTATTATTATGTAAATGTTGTGTAATATTATATAATATATTATATAACTATTACATTAGTATTAGATAACTATTAAGTAAATTTTCTCAGTATTTTTCCATCAAAAAAAAATTTTATTCACACTTTTTTCAAATTATTACTTTTATTGGAAAAAAATATGGATTTTTCCATAAAATATTCTCATTATTTCTCTAAAATAAAAATCACTTTTACTAATATATTGTCTAATATTATATAATATTTCCTGTATTATAAAATATTACATAACTATTATAAGTAAATTTACTACAAATTAGTCATTAATAAATTATCAGTATTTTTCCAACCAATAAAAAAAATTATTCACACATTTTCAACACAAAAAAGTTTTCAAAAATTATCAAAAAAATATGGATTTTTCCATAAAATATTCTCAATTTCCTATAAAAAAAAGTTCAACTTTCCTAATATATCCAATATTTTCCATTAAAATTTTTTTAAAAAATTCCATAAATTATTCACAATTTATAAAATTCTCAACTTTTACCCAAAAAAATGCATATTTTTTCCGTAAATTATTCACATTTTACTAAAAAAAAGTTTACTTTTTTCCATAAAAAGTGCAATTTTCATAATATATCCATATTTTCCACAAAAAAATATTCATTTTTCATAAATTATTCATATTTTATGTATAAAAATTTTTTTTTCCCAAAATATGATAACTTTTACCAAATAAAATAAACGCCAATTTTTAACTAAAAAAAAATTAATTAATAAATTGAGACAAAAATGCAATTATTTTATTTTAACTTATTATTGATATTATATATATATATAATTTTTATGCAATAATTTTTTGTTAACATTTAAATTAATTTTAATTTAATAATTATTGATTGATTAATAGCTGTCTACTAAATGTTTAAAAATATTTTTTAAAAAAACAAATAAATTTTTGTTAAGTATGATAATTAGCCGCTAAAATAAAATGTTAAAAATTATAATTTTCTATATAATAATTATAAATAATAAAAATCTAAAATTTAAAAAAATATTTTTCATTCAAACAAAAAACAGTCAAATAAATAGTGTTTTTAAAACTAAAAAAAAATCTAAAACTAAAAAATAAATTTTAAAACTATATGTGTATATAATAAAATCAATAATTTCATCTATAAATATTAAAAAACATTAAAACATCTTTTAGCTACCGTTCCCCTCACACATAACATAGTGAGTGAGTGTGCAAAAGCATTGTTAAAATATTGTTAAAAATAATAATTGTATAATAAAACTATAAATATATGTATATATAATAATAATAATTAAAAGCTATGATTATAATAATAATAATTTGTTGAAATATATGGTGTGTTTCATATCTTTGAATTAATTTTGAAACAAAGTGCGCGTAAAGTCTACATAATCGTAACCGTTGACCACTTCGCGGCCAGTTTTCGGGTCGACATATATCTTCATTCGGCGCATACAATAGTCGGCCATCTCTTTCGTCAAGTTCTGGACACAACAAAACAAAACATAAATTATTAATAAACAAACAAATCGGTAACACTCTGGTGGTCAACCCATCATCAAAACTTACCGAATAGAGATCATCCGATGTCACGTACGGCCTCTCGTTGGCCGCAATGGCTCGGAAAGCGTTTTCAATCTCCTCACTGGTCGTAACGTTTTCGGTTTCCCGGCTAATCATAAACGCCATATACTCTTGGAGGGAGACGTGTCCGTCGCGGTTGGGGTCGACCACAACCAGAATCTGTTCGAACTCTGGATCTTCGGGTTGTCCCTCCTCTTGCATCGGTAGGTCGTAGCCGAGCGCCCGGAGACACGATTTGAATTCCTGGTGATTCAGACGACCCGATTTGTCTTTGTCGAAATGTTTGAACATCATTGAGAACTCTTTCAGGGCGTCCTCCGAAACGCCCGACTGGTTGCGCGCCTGTATCTGCTGTTCGAGATTATGTTGCATACGCATACCCAACTGATCCAATTGATCCCATTGTTGGGCCAGTCCGACAGTACTGTGTTCAGTATAGCGATTATCCAGAATCAGGTGTTCCTCCAGAATAGCTCCCAAATCTTCGATACGTTTCAGATCCTGACGTTTCGCCCGTACGTCAGCCGCTTTGCGTCGGGTGGCGTCCAACTGGGCTTCCAGAGTACCGGAGCCCTCCATCATCGATGAACTGTTATTGAATAAATTATTAGTAAATAATATATATTTAAAAATAAAAAAATAAAAATCAATTTCAATATTAACCCGTCTAAGAGCCACATTCTGTTATGCGTTGGTTTTATTATAAAAAAAATCGGTTATTATGTGTGTTAAGCACCGGTAGATTAAGTGTGTATGTGTGTTAGGGCACAGGTGTGTGTGTGGGTATACACAAAAAGTATAGCACAAAATATATAAATTGTTGAATGATTTTTTTTGTGTGGTTTGTTTGGACAGTCGATTGGATAAGCGTTTTGTGGGGTTTCAATAAAAAAAACAAAAACAAAAAATTAGTTAATTAATTAATTAATTAATTAAAAACTACAGTATAAACTAATTATTATTACTATAACTACAGTATAACTATAAATATTAAAATTAGTTTCAAATATAAAAAATTATTTTTATAAAAAAAACTTCAAAAAACAATATCCAAACCGAGTCTCAGTTATCCAGTGATGGAAAGCGTTGGCGTGTTTGGCAAACTCGCGGCGCAATCGGTCGTTCTCTTCCTGGCGCTGATGCTCTTTGGTTAGCTCGACATCGCGTTCGGCGATAATCTTCTGCAGATTACGCCACGTGTCTTCCAGCGCTTCCATTGTAAACCAAGTGTACGGATTCGGTCCGACATTGAAACTCTTGATCTGCCGGTCCAGTTGGGCGAGGACTTCGAAGTCGTTGTGGGCACCGCTCAGCGACTGCTGGAACTGTTGGTGGGCGTCCCGTAGAGCCCGTATTTCCTCGATTGAATTACACCTGACCGGATCGGTTAGGTCTTCTTCGGCATTTTCGAACCACGAATTAAAAGCCGACGCCTTTTTGGCGAACGTCAAGAACAGGTCTTCGATCTGTTTGAACTGTTCCTGCATTCGCAGCAGTCGTTGTTTGCGGGCCTCCGACGCGCCCAACAGGTTATGCCAACGACTCATAACGTCGTCGTGTCGTTTGATGATTGCCGGCGTCTGGTTGTGATTGCCAGCAATCAGTTGATCCTTGAGCTGAGTTATGCTTTGAATGCCTTCCTGTTCGAAGGCAGCCAATCCAGCGTCAAAGGTCTCTTGTTTCTGGTTTATGGGAACAGTTAGTTATGGGAACAGTTAGCGTAAAAAAAAACATTTCCCCGAAGCTTTAAACAAACCGTCAATAGTGTCGAAACACTTGACAAATCGCGTCCGTAGTCGTCGCTCCGTACGTGAACCTCTTTGTCGGCTATCCACGACTCGACCACATCGGCCTTCCACATGAACTGCAAGTAGGCGCTGTTGTCCAACAGTTTGCCTTTACGGCGTCGGGCGCTCGCGTCCAGCGAATCCAAACGGGCGGCCAGTTGTTGGAGACGTTGTTGTATACCATCCGAATGATGATTGCCTTCGGCTACCAGTTGCTGGCCGGCACCGATAATATCCGAACAACGTTCCCGATGTACGGCAAAGTCGGCCTCGAATGCGTCGTGTTTTTTCAACAATCCCTGAACGGCGGCCATAGTGTCGCCATAGTCTTCGATGGATAGCAACTGATGTTTTTCGGATATCCAGGCCTCCTCTTCCTCGACTTTGGCCAAAAACTGCTGGAAAACCAACGACTCTTCGAGTTTATTGCCCCTCAATTGGGCCATACGTTTCAGGTCGTGCCAGTTCTGTTCCAGTGCTTGCAGTCGCTGCTCGATTTCGGGAACACCTAAATTACTTTCGACCATCAATTGCTGCCCAGCGTCCTGTACGGCCTGTATGGACGGTTCATGCGATCCGAGTTCGGCATCTAATCGTTTGTGTTTTTTACGCAAATTCTGTACACCCGTCAAATCGCGGCCATAGTCGTCGCTGTTGACCAACAATTTCTTTTCTTTGATCCAACTTTCTTCATCGGCAATATCCCTGAAAAACTGATGCAATGTATTCGCTTCGTTCAGCCGCTGTCGGCGATAGGTGGCCAACGTTTTGATTCGTTCGTAACGTTCGTTAATCGACGATCGCTTCTCCTGAATGGTTGCCGTATCGAACTGTCCGCTTTCTATTAGGGAATCGGCCAAACCGTTCATATCTTTGATCCGGTCTTCGTGTGCCTGAATATCTGCTTCGACTAACTGATGTTTTTTGATCAGATTCTGTACGGAAGATAAGTCTTTACCGGAATCTTCACTTTTCAATAGACCTTCGACTTCGCCTAACCAGAAATCAATGTCTTTGACCGCTGCGTTGAACGTACGCTGTTTGTTAGCCTCTTTGAGTTTCAACGATTTTTCGGTAGTTTTCTGCGACAAATGTGTCCACTGTTCGGCAATCGATGTCAACCGTTGTTGGACAGCCTCTTCACTACCGGCACACTTGCGTTTGTCAATCAAATTGTTGCCCATTGCCAGTACCGATTGAATCCGATCTTTATTGGCCGCCAATTCGGCTTCGAATGCCTGATGTTTCTGGTGTTTCGATTGGATGTTTGCCGGATCCTTATAGCTCTCGTCCATTGCCATCTGTAGCTTTTCGGCGATCCAGTTCTCCACTTCGTCGGCATCCCGACTAAACTGTTGCATTGTCTGCGATTCGCCTAATTTCGATCGTTTCTCGATCAACGCCTCCTTCAGATGAGCCCACCTATCGAGGACCTGTTGTCGCTTGTCGTCGATAGCATCGGTAGCGTAATGATCGGATTCAATCAGCTGCTGGGCTAATGCAGCCAATGTACCGATTTTTTCTTCCTGAGCACTGATAGCTTTGTCAAAGTCTTCGTGTTTTTTGATTAGCGACTCAACATTATCGCCGCCCATATCGTCGCTGGAGAGAAACGCTTCGCGACTGGCCATCCAGTTGTCCGCTTGTTCGCAATCCCTGTAGAATAGCTGCAATTCCAGACACTGGTCGAGTCGGGCCCGACGGGCAATCCATGCTTGTTCCAGTTCGTCGCGTGCAGCGGCCATTTGGCCCAGTTTTTGTTGTACTTCACCGCTAGCGTAGTGGCCCGACTGGAGCAAGTGTTGGCCAAACAGTTCAAACTGTTGGAACGTACCGGCTCGGGCATCGATTTCCGTACGATGTTCCTGATGTCGTTCCAGCAGAGCTTCGGCACCGGTAACATCGGCGGCCATTTCATCGCTGGCCACCAACGCCATCATCGAATTGATCCACGACTGTAGGTCGCGATAGTCGGCCAGAAAACGTTGCAAATCATACGAATCCAATAGTTTTTCTTTACGAGCATTAGCTTTACCGGTCAGTTGACTCCAGTCATCGTTGATTTCGCGTTGTTTATCGTAGGTTTGGTCAGCACTTTCCGGATGCGATTGCATCAGTCGATGAGCTGTTTCGTCCAATTGTTTGATTTTATCGCCCAGTGCTGCCAAATCACGTTCCAGGCCTTCGTGTTTGCGCTGCAATGTCTGAACCGATCGCAAATCGTGACCGTAATCATCGTTATTCAAGGCGTCCTCTTTTTCTTTGATCCAATCTTTGGTTTCGTCGACATCGCGATGAAATCGCTGGACTTCGTGAGCCGAACCGAGTTGTTGGGCTCGTTCGGTGGTCACTTCCTGCAGGTGTGTCCACTTTTGGTTCAGTTCCTCGACTTGTTGGGTAATCTTGACGGCCGCTTCTGTCTGACCTAAACTCGACAACTGAGTGGCAATTTCGTTCATTTCGGCCAACCGAACCTCATTGGCCTTCAGGTCGCTCATAAAATCATCAAATTTTTTCTGATAAACTTCGACCTGTTCCAGATCGTCGCCAACCTCGTGAACAGC